ATAAGATAAAATTTGATATATGATGTTGTACGAGGGTGACATGAATGAGGAGGAGGAAGAAGATGAGAATGAGAACGATGAACATTTTAATAACAAAAAAGAGATGCAGAGATGTAACTGATGAAATGATATGTGAGATGATGATTATGTTACTGAGAGAAGAGAGGAAAAGAGAGAAACAAGATTACTCTAAATTGACTTTTTTCTCTCTCTTTTTCTTCTTCTCATCTTCATCTCAATATTGACTTTGCATCCTAATTTGCATCTAAACCAACCTAGGATCACATTTGATATGAAAACAAGGATAAAAAATAGAAATGAGAAAAAAAACAAAAACAGAAAAAAAGAGTTAAACGATGAAATAGGAAAAGGAAATGCACAGAAAAATGTCCATTTTCAATTTTCTCACAACTTTAAGCATCGACTGTTAGTAGACATTGGTTGAGGTCAAGTTTGAAGGATTCATGATTAGGGAAAATTGAATTTAGATTGATTTTGAAGTCATATTCAAAACTTTACATTCTTTACTAGTTTTGCATCTTCGTCTATTCGATGGATTTTGGTTTTCGCGGTTTCAGAATCGATGGACTTTCCACTTTAAAATTTCTCTGTTTTTTAAGTTTTGAACAGAAAATTATAATTTTCATTTTTTCGTTTCAAGTTCATGTTGCTCATGTGTAACTCATGATAGTCAAGATTTCCATTTGGAATCGCCTTGAAATTTTCTATGAATTTTGCTTTCGAACTGAGTTAAACTGCTCATTAAATATTTATTATCAATAGAAATTTTCGTTTCGTTCTAATTGCAAAAAACATTGGAAATAATAAGATGTGTCAGATAGTTAAGCATTTATAAATCAAAGTCTCGAATTATTTTCTGATCGTTAATGAATCAATGCAATGACTCGAGAAGTTACTAATGTTAATTGGTATTGTGATCATCATGGAAACTCGATTTACTGATTTGCCTTTCAATTTCAAAAGTCACTTTGGAATTTTAATTTTCCAAGTTTTCCTAAAATTATGCAAAAAATGATGCATTTGAATGCATTTTTATCCATTAAAAAATGAACTTTCTGCTCATGGAAATTTAAATAATCGTAAAATTTTCCATTTACATTTTTTGAATTCCTTTAAAAACTTGTTGACTTGGATAAAAAAGTGCAAAGTTTTCCTTAAGTAGTCGAAATGCAACATAATGGACATGATAAACTCTTATTGAACTTTTCACGAGCAAGTATTTTCCAATCACCAACAGTAAGAATAAAAATTCTGCTTTTTATATCTTAATATCTAAAAATCTACTGAATAAAGTTCATTTACTGAGATAATTTCGACTCATCAATATCCCTTTATCGATAGCAGAAATAATAACAAATATCGAACTCGAAATTTTCAAAAACTCATCATTTTTAAATTAAAAGTTCTCATGAATTCCATGAATTAGAAAGCAAAGTAAAAATTTCAATTTCGATGGTTGATTAGCGTAATATCTTCCAATTAGGAAACCTTTCCAGAACTTTTATTTTAATCATTTGAACAAAAAAGGTTGAGAAAAGGTGAGAAAAAAAAGAAATGTAAACTCTGAAGAAAAGTGCTGAAAATGTCTCTTGGAATTAATTCTATTTTCAAATTTCCTTTCAATGATTGACTAATTATCACAATTGCATTTCATTTCAAACTTTTTTCTTTCCTCATCATCACTAAGGTTAGAGGTTTACACTACGAGGACTCATTGTGGTCAAACTCAATGAGGACTCACAATGAGATCTCAGATTGAGCCCCTGAGATGTCACAGATAACTTGACTTGCATTTCTTGCTCGCTTCAGTTTCCAGTGTTGTTCATCTTTGCTGATTGCATTTTTTCACCTTCATTTTCATCTTGTTCATCCACCAAATTCAATTATAATTGCCAGAAAAGAAGCGAAAAGGAAGAAAGAATGAAGAGAAAAGAAACTGAAAGCAAAAATTGAAACTCAATGTAAATAAAGCATAATACCATTGTAATATCATCATCATTTGTTATCAGTCAACAAGCCACAAAAAACAGGAAACAATCAAAATCTTTGTCATATTAATATTGATGTTCATGTAAATATGTTGAATAATATGCTAATTGTGATAATAAATGTTCATCTTTTTTTCTTGTTCATCTTCTTGTTCATCTTCTCTGCTTGTATCAATAAATGAATAAAGATAAATAAGGTTTACATGTAAACTCGAGTTTAATATTTTCACATTAAACCTGAAGTATGAACCATTTGCCATTTTATTATCATCTTCACCATTATCATCATTTGTTTGCACTGGGACTCTTTGCCCTGTCACTCGATCACACATGGACATGAAGACACACGCTGCTATTATTAGCTTTGGAAATTGTTAAAATGATAAATTGATATCCATATTAAATATTGGCATTAATGGTAATCATAAAAACAAGAAGAGCAAATGAATTGATGTACACATCATGTTAGCAGGTTGCACAAAGGATGAATCTTTATATCCATTTACATGGTTAATATTCGTGTTTACTTTTTTCCTCAAACTTTAAACTCTCCTCGATTCCCATTGTTGCGAGATTTTCAATAATTCAACTTTTTTTTCTCGCACCAATTATCTGTCATAATTTGATTCCAGATTGACATTTATTTTCTTGTTCAGTTCAATTTATGTTCGGTTTAAGGTGGTTGGATTTGATTGAGTTTAGATGCTTTTGCATTCATTGAAAGAACTGTTTTTAGGAGTTTTAATTGTTGAACGTTAAATGTTTGAAAATCAATTGAAAAGCAAATAATCGGTTGGTTTTAATCAGAAAAGATTAGAAGTATTTTGAGCTCGTTTTCATTGGTATATCGACACTAAAATTTGATTTCTGTGCAAACCGAATCATGAGAGTTGCATGTATCGATAAGATTTTTAGTTATAATTTTACACTCGAACTAAGAACAACTGTGAAATCAGTAAAGGTAATACCAAGATCTTTTGATCGATCCAAATATGGGAAATCAAATTCTTCATAAATTTAAATCGACATCTGGTGAATGTTTGGCTCAATCGACTTAATGCTCAGACTGCAGGAGTTCAGAGCTTTGTTCACACTTTTTGTATCTTAAAACTGCAAGAAAGAAGCACGGTAGATTTGATTATCTTACACATTTAGAGTACACAAAAATTTCTTCTCGTGTTCACTTATATTTCAAGAATCCACAATTTTGTCAGAATAAGATATTATTGCAGAAGATGTCTGAGAAAACATTATTTTTGAGAATTTTTCACTTTTTGACAAAAAGCACTCTAAAGCCTTTCTTGGTTATTATCAAGGCAACTCAAGATTCAGTTCAAAACTGATACAACTGAGTCAATAAACGCAACCAGATACGACCAGCTGCTATATTAACCAAGTGAAATGAATCAATTTGAACGTATCAAGTTTCAAATTTATTCAACAAAATTGGATAAATTGACCTTCCTTGACTTAACCAAATCACTTTGATCCCCTAGCCTTATACTGAGCTAACAGTTAATTCACATTGAAAAGTCCAAGTTTTCAATGAAAACAGCTCTATTAAAATAAAAATTACTAAAAATGGTGAATAAAAGGTTTATCGATGTCAAGATTTGCTAATCAAATGATCTGATTGCACCAGAGTTAAATTGTTCAACAGCTCATCTCATTCCATGTACTCCATATAATCTCATCGAGTCAATTGAAATTTTATGCAAAGTGTTCCCAGCCTTTCAACTATTTCCTGGTATTTGACGCATAATGACACCTCAAAATCACAGAACACAATAAAGACAATTCGCTTCTGAAATTAAACCAAAACTTTGATCAAATTTCCACCTTGTATTCACCATTTTTAGCGATGTCTGCTTCACTTCGCATTTGGCCTTTTTCAATGTCAATTGACTGTAAACCATTCAACGACTTTAACTCCTCAACAAAGCCAAAATACTATGAAGGCTCTCAGCCCTTCATAGCACTTTAAAAGCATTCGCATCCTTAGCCTTTGACATCAAGTAAATTTTTCTGAAAATGGCATTAACTTTATGAGATAAAGTATCGTTTGAACAATTTCAATTTAAACATCAGATGAGCTTCAAACTTTTCCCAACAGATGGAGCTGCAAGTAACTAAAAGCAACTAACATTTGATGTTGAATCGTTAGTTAACTTGCAGAAGACGAAACATTGAGGCAACAAGAGGCGAACCAAGAAAAGTTATTTCCGTTTTTTTCTCGGTCAAAGGGTAAGTTAAACCTTTAACCAGGCAATATAAACTAGAAAAAAGAGACACAAAGAGAGCGCAAATGTTTGAACAAAACGAAGCAAAATAACTTATAATTTTTTTGTTGCTTTCCTTTATTTTCTTACCTTCTTTTCATTTTCCTACCTTTAACCAGATTCTGTTCAATCCCTGGTTTCTCTCTCTCCTTACTGGTTGAATTATGATAAACATTTTTCCTCTTCTGTGGACCAAAAAGGTAGACTAAAGAGTCAACTTTCGTAAAAATAATAAAGGTTACACAGGTTTGACAGACTCCGCAAGGTAAGAAGAAGAAGAAGAAGAAAAAAAAGGCATAAATCAGTTTGGTCAGTTTGAAGGGGCAACAAGAAAGACCAGACCAGAGGAAAAGAAAAAAATGAAGAAGAAGAAGAAGAAATGGAAAAAAATATCTCTTCAGAGAAGCAGCAAAAAAGGGGAAAAAAGATGAAAAGATAGGGAAGAAGAAGAAGATGAAAAAGATGATGGTAAAGGAGAAGATGAAGAAAGAAGGAAGAAAATGAAAAGAAAGAAAGAAATGATGATAAAGAAAGAGAGGAAAGGTGGTTACAGTTGTGGTTCAAGCTCCACCCAAGTTATGCTTTTATTGGTATGAAAGTTAAAGTTGAGCTTAAGCTAAAAATGACGCCAATTGTTTGCTGTCTGTAAGCAGTGGCAAAAGGGAGGTGGAAAAGGAGGAGTTTATAGGAGAAAGAAGGAGATTCTGAAAACAGTGCAACGAATTTTTCCAACAGATTTGGATTGTTACCATTATTTTCAGACTATTAAGGATTATTATTCAACTGCATATACATTTTGCTTACTGTTTTATCGTGTCTTCACATTTCAATGTTTGAGGAATTATTATTATTCTTGTTTGTATTCATCATTGCCGACCGGCATCCATCATCTTCATTAACACTGATTGTCAACTAATTGTGCGTTTCTTCATCGACACTCATCAACACTCGGACTAAACATTGTTCATCTAGTTTAATTGACTCAACGTTCAACAAACATGCCACGGAAAAAACAGGATCGACCTCAACGCTCTGAATGTAAGTAAAAGTTTTACATTCAAAGTGATCTTCAATCTTCATCGAATCATTTTTTCACCTGAAAATTTTCTTTCAAATTGTTTTGAAATTGTTTCTGACTATTCTGGTTACCTTGAGTCTTGACCAGTTTCTTTGTTGCTCTAATGGTGCAATAAAATAGTGTCAAAAGGCTAAATTTGGTGATGACTTTTGTCTTCTTCTTGACGCTAAAATCGTTCAAGATGGAAGAAGATAATTGCTCTTGGCTTTGCACATCTTTTCTCACTTGTTGTCCATAATTTTTATCCTCCTTTTTGACAGATTGATATAGATATAAATACGCATAAATACATCTTTATGTACATCACAGAGGATAAATAACCATCTATAGCTTTTCATCTTTCATCTTCTTCTTCTTCTTTCCTCTCTCGTCTTTCTTCGTGTTCATTGAAATGTTTCACTGGAAAGCGATTATAATGACACCAAACCGACACTGACGGTGATTACTTGTTCAATGATTTTAACACTCAAGACCTTTTTGTCAACCAGACAAAATGTAAAAACGATAAACATTTCAATATTGAAAGATTTTTTTGTGTCAAAAAAATGAAGAAGCTCATAAATAGAAAGCGTAAAAAACATTGAAAGAAGAAGAAGAAGAGAAAAGGAAAATATGAAGAAAAGGAAGATGAGAAGAGAAGAGATAAAATGATAACTGTTTTTACTCTTTTCATCTTCTTCTTCTTCCTTTTCTCCAACCTTTACAAGATACTTTTAAGGCTGACAACATTGTGTTAACCTTAAAGCCTAGGATAGGATTAAAGCGTTTTAAGTGAGTCGTGCGAACAAATTGCATTGATCTGATGAGCCTAAAAACCGAACACATCGGTGTGCACTTCGATGAACTTGATCTTCACTTGTCTAAGGTGAAGACGGGCAAAGAAGGGCAAAAGCCCTCTAAAAAAGAAGAACACAAAAAATCCATTTTCACTCTCACCTTTCAATCATCACTTGCATCGTCATCCTCTAAAGCGATATGTTTAACAACTTTTATACTCACACAGACAGAGGGAAAAGATATGTTTATAAATATAAATGAAATGTTTTTAAATTACAACAGATTTAAGCAGCAACAAGAGCGAGACAAAACCAAGGGATGTACACTGAACATAATCTGAACATTTTATAATACAAATTCATTCAAGTGGAATCATGATAATCTGCATTTTCTCTCACTCTATTCACTGTATTATTATAGGAAGAGAATGATGACAAACACACAAAATTAGTTTATATATTTTACCCTCCAAAGTTCACATCGAAATTGCATTTCTTTCAAAGGTCGCCCTTTCCCTCCCAGGAATCCTCTTATTGCAATTATCATTTTATTAATATACATTATTTAGAGATGATTGAATGTTTACATTCAAATGTGATTACCAAACTTGATACTATTTGAGTAAACTAAAAAAATTGGAAACTTCAATTTTCTCCAGTTTTGCGCACTTTTTTTACTCAGTGACGAGCATTAGTTTTTCAGCTTGCAGTTCGCGTCCAGTAGGTTCGAACTGTTTTTCAGTGAAAATGTGGAACCAGATGGCGTTCATTTGTTTTGTCAAAATAACCGTGAATAAAAACTCATCGTAACCATTATCATTATTAGATATAAATGTATAAATTTATCTCTCTCTCGCTCGCTCCTTTACAACGTCTAAACAACTTTTATTTTGTTCAACCTTTTCTGTTGTTGTTTTTGTTGTTACAATTGTTTACCAATACAACAAGAAACTGCTCAATATCACCAACAAAAAAGATGCACATTTTTAAGCCTTTACCTTTTGTTGATCACAATTGTTGCAAAGTAAACGCATAATGAATCCATTTCAATCACTTTTCAATCAAAAAACTTGCACTTTTCAGCAGCGTTTTAGTGGTCAAGCGACTTGTCAAAAGACATATGAAACCAAAGAAACAAAAGTTTATCAACAAACTCAGAAATTTCACAAAAAGTTTTCGCATCGATAAAATCGAGAATTAGTAACTCAACTAGATTCCAAAAACTCGAAAATTCAAAATTCCATTTTCTTGAAATTCGAGTGAATAGAAAATTTCCAGATTTGCGTTTTAAAAATTTTCTGACCAACTTCCTAACCAGAATTCATGTCGAACTTATACCAAAAGAAATTTGTTCATCTTGAAATTTCGGGTTTTCTAAAAAAGCTACTATTTGGTTGAAGCTTACGTTTCAGTTAAATTTCAGAATTATTATCGTGAACAGTCGAAATTTTGCAAAATTTTGGTGATTTTTGAATTCTCATTTCTGATTCTGTTTTTTATTCCGAAATCGAAGAAAAAATTTGTAGAGAAAAGGTTCACTTTCATTTGCAAAACATAAATCTGGTGTGAATCAAGTGAAGCAACTAATGCAAGTTGAAAGCTGCCCAATTACTGGATGAGTTGAATTGAAAACTTGTCCATTTTTACCTCAACCTTTTCATATTGCATTTAATATCAATTTTTACTTTTTATTGATCCGTTTCTCTTTCACTCTTTTCACTGACTGACCTGATTGAAGCAAGTAAAAGATTAGCGATTTAGTCTGTTGAGAGATTAAATTGTGTTCCCTGCGTCTTGGGTTAGGTTAGGTTAAGTTAGGTTAGGATTATTTGTATATTTAATTTTTTGTCACTTTTTTCATTGCACACTATTCTTAATATTCTTACCGTTCAACTTTGCCCTTCTTTGCCCTCTCCAGATCCTTTCTTTCTCCTCCTCACTCAATCCATACAAACACACACAAAAAACACACACAAACACACACAGCCACACACAAGCAAACATACACAGTCTTTTCATCTTTGACATGGTCATTAACATGTTACAAGAATCAACTGACTGTGATTACATCCTCATCACTTTCATTGTCTGACTTATTATTATTATTACATTTTATTATCATTTTGTCATTTTTCCATGTTTTCATCTGTTGAATTGTTATTGCGTGTGTCGCTTTACAATACACACACAAAAAAGCATAAAAAGTAATGTACATGATATGTAGGTCAACAATATGGACAGAATAATAAAAAAAGGAAAAGCGAAAAATTCGCATCTTATTAATGTTCATCTTTTGCTCATCATCTTCCCTCCATCCTCCGCCCTCGCCATCTCCAACTTTCCATTAAGTACGCTCCACTCTCTCTGTATGCGGTGATAATTAACAGCTCAGTGAACCACTTAACTTTCCTTTCAATTATCATCAGAGTTTCCCTTTTCTCCATCTTTCTTCCTCGTCCCTTCACCGGACTAGTCTTTTGCAAACAAGCAAAAACACTCAATGTAATAACAATTTCATAATTTGAAATTTATTACAATGTTATTTACCATGAAGATCAAGTCAAATGATGATAATCAAGATGTAACCATTTGAGTCACATGTAAACAAATATCATTTCTCTCACCATCTCCCATCAACTATTTATTTAGATAATAAAACTATAAACCTTTCGAGTTTTTGGCCGAACAAACTTTTCGATTCAAATTTAGGAAAAATTAGCCAAATTGAAAAGCAGCATAAACAGAGGGCTGAAAAGGACACGCGATGAGCATCACTGGCAACCTTTGTTTACTTTGTCATCTTAACAAATATCTTATTATGAATGTTATTATATTTATATCAATCCCTTGTATCTCTCTTGCCCTGGAAAAGAGATGGAAATCATTTTACCAGAAAAAGTTCACATCTCACTCATAAATGTTAATATAAGGGAATGAATTGTTCCCTCCGGGAATTACTCTATTCACTATTTGATAACCTCTCAAGTCTAATATCAAAATGATTTACTTTATTGTTATAAGTTTATCAAACTTGTGAATGCAAACTGACTCAACTCTGAAAATTGATAAGCAAAACAAGAAGCAAAGGCAAAAATTAGCAATTCATTAATCATTTAGCAAACATGAAATTATCTCTTCTCTTTCCAAATGAAGTTTTTCTGTTGATTTTTTGGCCTCAATTTTAATCATTGCAAAGTATTTAATAAGAAAAGGCTGGAAAACATGAGAATGCCAAGGTTGATTTGAATAACTATTCAATGAATAATTGAACAGCTAAATAAAGTTTGGAAAAGTTCAATTTTAATTGATAATGTTTTATTAGATGAATCATGAATAATGTTGTGCATAATTAATGAAAATGGATCAACTTTTCTTGGCACAGTTTAACTTTATAATTTACAGTTTAATTAAGTTAATGTTTCAATCTATTCCAGTTGAACTGATGAGAAGAAGAAGAAAAAGAAGAAGGCGAGATGAAACATTGAGAGAGGCAAAAGAAAATTTCACCAAATTCTGTATATAAGCCAATAAATCCCAGTTATCTGTTTTATTCATCATCATCAGTCTCATCATTGTGATCATTGATGTCTTTACTTTTCCCATTTTCATGTGATAAAAAATGTTTCCAGTCAAATTCATGTTCATTCACAAATCAGTTGAGAAGCAAAAAGGTTAAATGAAAATAAAAGAAGAAGAGAATAAAATAAAGTTCAATTCGAATTCAAATTTTAAAGATTGGTTGACATCAAATGAATCTTATTATCTGTTTTTCCTGATTCCGCCACTTTTCCACTGACTTTTTGTCATCTTTCAAGAGGAGAGAGACAAAGATGAAGATGGAAAAGAAGAAACTAAAAGAAGAAGAAAAAATTGTCATCTTAAGTTGAAAAATAGAGTGAAGATGAAAATTGTGATAAACACAGTTATCTTGTCATTGACACATTCACATTGTATATTTATATGTAAATTTTCAATATCAATCGCTCCATTACAATATGGCAATATTGAAAGCTTTTTGTGTAAATGGAAGAAGAAGATGAAAAGATGAAGATGAAAGATACATTTCTCTGTTCACCATGACACGCATAAACAACACATAATATTGTGACTTGTGTAAAGTCATCAGAAAGTCAACTTTGACAGTTTACCTTTTCTCTTCTTCTTTTCATCTGAGCTTCTCGAAT